CTTATCATTTTTAACCTTTACCGCGTGCCGTAGTTGCCTCCAGAGTCATCCAACAGGAAGATGTGTATGTTGCAACGTATCTGACAGTTGTAGGCTTATTAAACATGCAGTGCGTAAAGGCGATCACGCCAGATCTCCATATTTACTTTATTATATCTACCTTAAGTTAAGAATATCATTCTACGTCAGTCGCTTATTCGCCTATAAGCGGAATGGTCAGAAAGTGTAATAAGCTGCCTGGAGGCGTTATCAAAGGGTATTCTTTCTTTCCAAATGCTCGAAGGAAGAAAGTTTCCAGTCAACGGTCTTTAGGATGTGACGTGGTGGGTATCGCGTCAATTTTTGCGGTTCGGCCGTGACAGTCTTTACGGTTCCTGCTGCCGACTACAGGCAGAGAGTGAGTTCGATGAAGAGGAGTTAAGTAAACATTTGTTTTACTTAATTGGTTCATTTTTGAGGGGGTAGGCCAAGTTTTTGAAAACCCCGTTTTTAACAGTCCGTGTATAGCTTGTAAACCAATCGTTATTACTAGCGCAGTGTTCATTTAATGAAGTAGCTTAGTAAAAATATCATTAGCGTGGAATTAGTTAGAACTTTAGCTCAGGTTCCACTTTTCGAGGGAATACGCGTAATCATCGAAAGATTTCTCGATTTCATGATCTCATTCCACTGTTATACCACCCGTTGTGAATAATTCGAACCGGATATTTAGCCTCACATGATTATGTCAAGTTGGAGTCTTGCGATCGCGAAAAAGATTAGCCCTGTGCTAATTACAATTCCGTGATCCTGTTTTTGTGGTTATCTACAGCCTTCACTAATTCATTTGGCCTAACCTCAAATACCTCGAATCTGTAGTTACTGCATTGAGTGCAGTAGGAAGGCTTGGTTCTTGCCAGGGACTCGCCTTCTTCCTGACGTCAAAACATCAGCGAACACCCGGTTTTAACAGATCCCGTTTTCGAAACAACTTGGCTTTTGATGAACGTCTGTGTTTGGTGATGCGAATATTGACAATGTTTACTCGGGGTCAAATACCCTAATGCTACTTGGAAATATACGGCACCTATTAGAATTGGAGATAATATGTTTAATGCGTTGTTAGCCCTCCCCGAGGACGTCCTTGGTCTGCTATTTTAGTGCAGAAGTAGTGGCACGGGTGTGCTCAAACCTGACATGTTTAAGTGCTCTGGAGAAAAGAATTTTTGTCCTGGTCAACTCGTTTTCCGTCTCCCAGGGAACTCTGAGTGATTTCCATGAGGAGGGGAGAGGGGTACAGTAGACTTTTCACTCGTTTTGTGGTTGGCAAACCTGAAAGTGAATTCACAACCTTATTGGTTTGATAATAAGACTCTTTCCAAGATGAAGCATTATTTCCCCGATACAAATTTAACAAAAGCCTAAACAAGCAGAACTTAGTAGTATCAACAAGTGTCCTGACGACTTTTCAAATGGCACTTGCTTTTGCATGACATAGACAACGTACGGAAGTATACAACAATTTGAATCTGCGCAGGAAGCAATACATAGTAGCAAGGTCATTGTTCAACCCGGAGAATAATTAATAATAATATTGCCTTTAAACTTGAATGCAAGGGCAAAAAAGCTGGGGAAGCAAGTGACACAAATCAAAGTGTGATTAAATCTAGGCCTGTGCTTACCATAACAATTGGACATTAGTCACCTATTCTAACTGGTTACGTACCTCGGTTTCCTCCCACCATATATAGGCCACTTCCATTGTTCGTCTTTTATATGGGGCAGCGCAACCGTCGCCTGATTGTATTTAAGATGTTACTATTCTTAAAGGTTGAGGATGTTATAATGGGCTTTTTTGGACCTGACT